AGTGATGTAGGAATGTAGTGGCACTAGCTGTGTAGTTGCAGATTGCAACTCAAACCTCGGCTTCACCCTCCCCTTCCAAGGGAGAAACCCATAACGCCCCCTATCTACAGCTAGTGTTTGGTTTTTTGTCTTCTAGGCTACTGTAGAAACCATGATGGTTCAACATGACGGACTCTGTGGAAGAGGAAGCCCACTTCCTCCTGTGATTTAAATGTCTCATTCTAAAGGTAACAAATAACAAAAACGATTCCCTGTAATTAGGTGGATTAATACCATTGAATGAGAAAGTGTGACCCTACCATTTCAACCAATAATATCATAAACATCCATCCATCAATCAATTTTTCAACTTGGTGAACACAGTGCTAAAATTCATGTTGTTAGCATAGCTAGCAAACAGCAATGGCTGCCTGTTGGAGAAAGTTGTTTCATGGTAGTTTCTCCCTTTGGAAGGGGAGGGTGAAGTGAAAGGAAGTTGTGGATCTGCAACTACACGCTAGATGACACTACATCCTACATCACTGAAAAAAAACCTGGGGGGGGGAAAAAAAACCTGTAACCGATCAGGAGTGGATTAGGATGAGCCAGTTTTGTGCTGCTTGGCCGTGGCTGGTCTTCAGCCATCTGTCCCAAAATAGACCAGCTGCGTATTTCCGCGGAGCAGATAAGAGAACTGCTTCTGGGACGTTTCTGAAATGCACTGCCGGTGCCTCTGGTGGAAGCACCAGCATTGTCTAGGACGGCCAGTGAATAGCGTGCCAGTGGCTGCATGTCCTAACTTTTCCCCCCTATACAGCGCCCCTGCTCCCAGCAGTCCAAATTGACTAGTGTTCAAACGCTGCTCCAACTAACAGGCGTGCTAATTTTACCATTTTAGCATCATCTTTCAGATATGGCATATTTCACCATGGCTACAGCTGCATGTGCAAAACTTGCTAAATTTTTGTTTAAATTTGTATTTTTTGTTGGTTTTGTTGCTGAAAACATCATTGAATTATGCCTGACTGGGTCTGATTTTAAGGGTCTGAGCCAAATTGTTCAAATCGTCTAGATTCAGGAGATTTTGACTACGACGACGGTTGCATTAGATGCTGCGACCTGAAGTCTAGCTCCTTCAAACCTCTCTCTTTTTGACTTATTGCAGAAACACTAAGACAGAAATAGCCTGGAGTCTTTAGAAAATACTGTGGGGTTTGGATTAAAGAGCAGCAGACCTTGAGGAGAAACCACACAGCCAGATCGACCAGGTGGGACCAGCCCATCAACAGTCCTTTCGCTCCAGGACTAGAGCCATATAGGAGCCATGCTATAGGGTGGCTGTGGCTCAGAGGCAGAGCGTGTTGTCCACTAATCGGAAGGTTGTCAGTTCCATCCCCAGCCACATTTCAAAGTATCCTTGAGCAAGATACTGAACCTTTTGTTCGATGAGCTTTGCCATCACTGTGTGAATGTGTGTGAAAGGGCGAATGTGACGTGACAAGTGTAAAATCGCTTTGAGTCGTCAGAAGACTAGAAAGGTGCTGTACAGGTATGGTACCATTTACCATTACCATGCTAACCCAGCTTGGACTTAGGCTTAAGTCCAAGCCTTAGGCTACTCCTGACTAATGTCTAGTTTTGGATGAAATGATACTCGGGCTGGCCAAACAACAGGAAATCAAAGACTGTATCTTTACAGACACATCCTCCACCAACCTCCTGGATCAAGTCCTCAACGGGCGGACTGTTTCTGAGCCAACAGATAGAGCCGACAGACTATGTGTTTCCATCGATAATGCTTGTTGCTCAAACACAGTCAAAGTGTATGGTGGTGGTTTCTTTTAATGTGTAGATGAAACTATATTATCATCACTCATCTTGTTGCTGCTGTTTACATTAAACCAAACACAAATTCAAAAGATGACCTGCAGAGTTATTTACTGGCTATATACGTGTATGTATATATATATATACAGTATTTATACATAAACCTTTTGTTGTATAATGATGAATACATTTCCTTGACTCCTAAAGGGAGCATGTTAATTTCTACAGTAGCATTTCACTGTATTTAAAGGCAGAAATGTTTATTTATTAAACATCTAGCAAGTAAACATTTAAACATTCACAAAAAATATAAATCATTGTCTACATTACATATTTATTATCGCTATCTTGACCACAGAGCCCTGCGTGTCCAGAAATAACTAAGGTATACTTACAGTAACATATTTTGAGGCACTGGCCAAGCTGCAGTATTTGACAAGCTGGGAGTGAAAACGTGTTGGTGCTTGAACAAAAGTAACAAGTGTACAGCGAGATATGAAAAGTACTACACTAGAAAGCTGAAATGAGATCTAAATTAGGGAGGAATTCTGCTGTCAAAAATCATACTGGTGGCACCCAGTTAGCTCACCTGGTAGAGCTGGCGATCATATACCGAATCCTTGTTGCAGCGGCCCAGGGTTCGAATCCGACCTGCGACCCTTTGCTGCGTGTTATCCCCTATCTCTACCCCTCTTTCATGTCTATCTTCAGCTGTCACTATCAATTAAAAGACAAAAAAATATATAGAAAATCACACTGGCCTCCCCTTTTCGGCACCTTACTGCCACCACAAATATTACTTTAAACTAACAACAACCTTTCTCCCTTTTCCTTTCCTCCTCTTTACATGTGACAATGTCTAATCCTTACCAGAATGCTACTTGATTTTCTTATTTTACTTTTAGTCCCATTGAGATCCAAAATTTATTTTACAAGAGAGACTTGGCCAAGGTAGCAGCCGTACAAAATCATAACATATTAAAATACACTATATAGGATATAAATAAAAGTTTACAAATTAACAGTCAACAAATAGTTGTTTGTTTACTCCAAAGAGTGTGATAAATTATGCGTGTGTTCCTGTTTAAGTTTTTTTTGCTCTTCTGTGAACTTTCTGCATACACAGTATGTCCACACACATATGACATGAACCCATTCCTGTCTTTAGCAGTTAGATGTTGTCAGAGGTGTGTGTATTTGTTGTGTAAATTTGCATATATTAACGTATAAGACAATGACAAATTAAAAACTACCTGAGGAGAGGAAAGGACTTGGAGGATATACACTCTATTAGATATCTTTGTGATGTCTTATCTGGGAACTAAATGAGCTGCCATTCATTCTGGATTATTTATGAGCTTCCATATTAGGCTGAAAAGAAGTGCTCTTTATGTTAATTAGGGATTCAGCTTGAAGAAGGCCACCACAGGCAGAAATAGAAAAGGGCCCCATCTTTTTAAAAACGATCACAGGAAATGAAGCTAATTGCAGATTGTTAAACCCCAGTGGTAATTGTGAGTGTGTTCATGTGTGCACCTGGAACAGCATCATACACACACTCCTGCCCCACCCCCACCCCATGACAGTTTTGCCCCACGCAAGTGATTGTGCATGCTGTTATTTCCAAGGTTGGTGATATCCACAACCACCACCATTAATACACACACACACACAC